AGACTAGATAGAAAGAGTAAAAAAATCAACAAATACCCTTCATACACAAAATCCAAATGAAGTGAAAAGAAAACTAGAAGTTTATGAAATCATTTGCATTTTAACATACAGATTTTATATCAGGTAAGGGTTTTCTTTTAGTATTAGTTACAAGTTATCAGGATCTTATGAAACGTAAAGGTTAAATTTATATAGAAAAGATGAAGTAAAATAAAGTAAAAAATATAAATCACATTACAACCCCCATCATTGACTACAATTAAGTTCACTGAAGCTCAGATTTCAACTTTGATAGGTTCATAGACTTTTGAAAATATGAGGATACCTAAGACACTTCAGAAAATACACCTTATCACGTTTCCCAATGTCCTGAAGCCCAAGGACCCAAGATTGGAAACCCTGCTTTCAACTTATCAATGGCTATTAATCACTGTTTCTTCTCTCTTTCAATACTTGGTGGTATGCAAAATGCATTGCTCTGGAAGGCAAGAGATTTGGATTCTACTCCCCAGTAATTAATTTATCCTCTTATGACCTTATGCAGGTCAATGAATTTCATTCATTTTTTGCCACTTTATCCATAAACAAGCCTAATCATACCTTAATTGGCTGAAGACTGGGGATTGGATCAAATGAGAGATCTATGGCTTTTTTGTATGCAATGTAATTACATTAAAGAACATTATATAAGAAAGATGTATTTCGTATTCTAACATACTCCTTAGTGAGTTTCTAACTTTAACTCTCCAAAGGAACATTACATTTTTACAATTCTCTTTGATAAAATTTTCAAAATAGGATGACACTACAATTAAACTTACAGAAAATTACCTAGCACATCACCCTTCCTAGATTTATTTAAAGAAAAATAAAACTATAAAAGTCAGCATTTAAATCACACTTACCAGCTGACTGGGCACGGTTAGTAGCGTCATGATCACTGTCTCCCTGTTCACTGTCTCCATGACCACTGTCCTTAGAGCTTACTATGTCAGCTTCCTGGAACGCAGAACTAGAAGTGCAAAAATGAGATTATTAGAATATAAAAAAGGTGAAGAAACACAGAAAATATTCTTCTGCCACCACATGGTCACAGATGGTGCTGCAGACTCATAGACCTGTTGGTTGGCTTTATTTCTGCATCAAGCTAAATTTTATAACCTAAGCCTATCTAACTCTTTAAAATGGAGAATTAGCAGTCAATTTGAGTACTTAAGTCATGTAAAGTTTAGGCATTATTCTATGATTGGAGCTAAGTATATATGCACATCAGTTTCATAAAGGAGATATAAATATACACCTGCAACATTTAGGAAGACTATTAGAAGCCATGTAGGAGTATAAACTGACAAAATATTCAAATATATTTTGTAAGTTGCATATAAGTGAAATAACCCTCTTTAATGTATTGTCTAGGAAACGCAATTATAGTCAGTATTTATGTCCTGCCCTAATTGAAAATACTTTATATATTTTATATTTTAATATTGGATAATATACCTACTTCCTATTTTTACTAGGTTGTGAATTGGCCATACACTAAGCTAGGGAACAAGAGTCCATACCTGTTAACTCGGCGAGGTCTGTCAACTAGATAGCTGAGCTCTGCTCGCTGGTGTTTAGTCTAGGAAAAAAAAATAAATAAATCAAGAGCATTTGAATGCTAAGGGCTTCCTAGTCTGCTTTTGAGGTTTGAGACTATATTTAGCTTAAGTAATTGTATACACTTTTATGAATTTCCAAGCTTTCCTAAGACTTCCTTGTCGTGATTGCTGGGTAAGGGTGGGGTAGATATGCAGAGACACTTGAATCCATATCTCAGTCACTTGTAAAGGTTAAAAAAAAAAAAAACAACAAAAAAAGGCCAACTTTAAATGTTTTTTTTTTTTAAGGAGAGAATGCAAATGACCTCATAGTAAGGGCTAATAAACTATTGTCTCCAACAGAGTCAACCTAGTTATACTCTGCAATCTTTCAGTTGCCTAAAAAAGTGTTTAGGTGCATACTGGTTGACACAAGAAAAACAGCACGCTCAATAAGCAAAAAGTTTGGATATTTTATGGAATTATGTTGTCGTTTATTTTCAAAATGTGCTTAAGATACAAATGAACTGTACAAATATTCATGAAAGTCAAATAATATCTAAGACTCAAATAAAATAACCTGCCAAGAAAGGAGTTCATAATTCTGCCCCCTCCCCCCCAATTTTTTCCCTTTCCAAGGCCCTCTGCATTCTCCTCCCCACCTCCGCCACCCACACCTTTTCCGGTCCAAACTTTCACAGAAACCAACTCTGTTCTCGCCCCCACCCCCACCCTCCAACTTTGCCACTTCTCCATCTTGTAAAAAGAAATCGGAATTGACAAGCCAAATTCTTTTATGAAAGAAAGCCAACAGCAGTGATTTATCCAAAACAGTGGCAAGAAAGTGATTATTAGCTAAAAGATATATTTAAGACAACAATTGTTTAAGCCTTTCATTAGTTTACTCTTACAGGGGGGTTGTGCCAAAGCAACTTCATTCAAATTCACACTGTGTGGGCGCTTGGCTTCAAGAGCGTCTGTAAATGCTGTCCAGAGCAGAACTGAACGCTTTTTTTGCAACCCGAGTTCAGAGGACAAGGATCTGATAACTTGTTCACTAAAACATGCATTTGAGTTTAGACAGCTGTGTAAAGTTAAACAATCTATAGCTTACTTGTACACGCGACTGAAAGCATCGATAAACAAAACAAAATAAAATCAACTTTATTAACGCCTGGGACAGACGCAAAGAGGGAAAGACCTTTGCCAGTGCTAGAAAATCCCCCCCACACACACACACACATTTCCCTCTCCCTTCGCGCACTTTTTTCTTTACCCCCAGGTTTCTGAGAAGGGAAAGGACTGACCCGGGTTAAGATTTTAAAGGGAAGATGGGAGAGCGAAGGAGAGAGGTCCAAGGTGGCAAAGTACCAAGGGGAGGGAATGAAAATTAATGCAGAAGGGTGGAACGCAGAGAATTAGGAACAACGCGAAAGTTAGGTTACACACGAAGAGGTGGGAGAGGGTGACCCCCCATCCCCACCCACACAACGATACAAATAAGCTAATATCCTAAAAATAAATACACAGTGCACCAGAGGTACAAGGGCCGTGCTAGAGGAGGCTTTCTGATGGAGGAGATGAGAGATGGTGGTCCTTTCGCTTCAGCCTTACCTCGTTGGACAAAATGCTTCCGTTGGAGATGATGTCGGGCTGCTGGTCGGTGTAACCGGTGACGATGGCCCCGCAGGGGTTGTGCTCAGTGTCCGTACTCCGGGAAGGGCTGCAGGGCTTAAGGAACATCAGATCGGTCTTGGCGGACTCCGGGGTCAGGCAGACCTGGTAGCAGTAATTCTGGTTGTGGTGGTGGGAGCCAAAGCCCCCGGACTCCTCCACGGGCACCTGGGCAGGGTTACTGGGTACGTTGGAGCTCTGCACCAGCATAATGTCCGACTTGCTGAGTTTCTTCTTGCGCGCCCGGGCTTGGCGGCCACAGCAGGTCGAACCTCCACCGCCGCAGCAGCAGCAACAGAGGCAGCAATCGCTGGCCAGACACGTGTAGATGTTGAGCTTCTTCTCTTTTTGGCAGCGGACGGCCAGCACGATCATGGCCAGCAGGAAGATGAAGGACACTGAGCCCAGAGCAATGATAAGGATGAGGGTGAGGTCTAGCGAGGTTTCCCCGCCGCCAGAGCGGCTGGGTCGCTGATGCTCCCCTGACCCTCCTCCTCCGCCCCCGCCCCCGCCCTGGGGCTCCACTGCTCCATCCACCAGCTGAACGACCAGGGTGGCGGTGGAGGACAGGGGCGGCTGCCCATGGTCGCGCACCTCGATCACCAGCTCATAAGGCCGCTGGGGGTCGCGCTTGGCCGGAACTCGGCGCGCTGTGCGGAGCTCCCCGGTGCGCCAGTCCATGCGAAAGAGGTTCATTTCGTTGCCCCGCACGATGCTATAGGTGAGCCGGGCGTTCTCGCCGTCGTCCGCGTCCACCGCGGCCACACGGGTGAGCAAGTAACCCGGCTCTGCCGAGCGGGGCAGCACCTCGCGCGCCGGAGTCCCGTTGCGCCCTGGCAGGGGCGCCACGATGGCAGGGGCGTTGTCGTTTTGATCCACTATGAGGATGTTGACAGTGGCGTTGCCCGCCAGCGCCTGGGGGCTGCCGGCGTCCCGGGCTTCCACCTGAAAGCTGAAGTCCTTAAGCTGCTCGTAGTCGAAGGAGCGCAGGGCGTACAAGTAGCCGTTCTCAGAGTTGATGGACACGTAGGTGAAAACGCTCATACCCTGGATCTGGCACTCGAGGATAGAGTAGGCAAGCTGGGCGTTGGCGCCCTCATCGCGGTCGGTGGCGCTCACCGCGTAGATGTAGGCGCCCGGCACGTTGTTTTCAGTCACATACACGTCGTAGACCGGCTGGCTGAAGCGCGGCGCGTTGTCGTTCACATCTGACACCTGTACCTGGATCGACTTACTGGTGGAGAGCGCCGGCTCGCCCCGGTCCCGGGCCACCACAGTCAGGGTGTAGGAGTCCCCCGCCTCTCGGTCCAGGGGGGCTTCGGTCACGATGGTGTAATAATTCTTAAAGGAAGACTTGAGGCGGAACGGCACGTCGCCCAGCAGCTCGCACTGCACCTGCCCATTCTCCTCCGAGTCGCGATCGGTCACGCTGAACAGGGCCACCACTGTGCCGGGCGCCGCGCCCTCGCTCACCGCCTCCTTCACAGTGCTGAAGCTGATTTCTGGCGCGTTGTCGTTAGCATCCAGCACTCGCACCAGCACCTTGCAGTGCGCAGGCACGGCGTTGGGGCCCAGGTCCTTGGCTTGTACATACACTTGGTACACTGGGCTCTCTTCATAGTCCAGTTCGCCGCTCACCTCCAGCCGGCCAGTGCGCGGTGAGAGTCCGAAGAGCTCCCGTGCCCGGGGCGAAATGTGGCTGCTGAAGGAGTATACGACCTCACCGTTCTGGCCCTCGTCCGGGTCGGTAGCGTTGAGCTGGATTACGAGCGTGCCTGGGGGCGAGTTCTCTGGTAGGGACACAGTGTAGACGGGTTGGTCGAAAGCGGGCACGTTGTCGTTGGAGTCCAGCACTCGGATGGTGAGTAGAGCCGTGCCGGTGCGCTGCTGCTGGGGGGGCAGGCCCGCTCCCCCGCCACCTCCCCCTCCTTCTCCTCCCCCTCCTCCCCCGTCCACCGCGGTCAGCACGTAGCGGTGCACCGCTTGCTGCTCTCGGTCCAGTGGTTTCTCCAGCACCAGCTCGGCAAATCGGTTGCCATCCCCCTGGGTCTGCACGTCCAGGGAGAAGTAGCTGTTGGGGGTGATCTCATAGTCGCGCAAGGAGTTGGTGCCCACGTCTGGGTCGAATGCGCTCTCCAAGGGGAAGCGGGTGCCTGGCGTGGCGCTCTCAGAGATTTCCACGGTCAGGTCCGGCTCCGGGAAAGAGGGGGGGTTGTCATTAATGTCCAGCACCTCGATCTCCACCCGGAACAGCTCCAGGGGGTTCTCCAGGAAGACCTCCAGGTGCAGGACACAGGAGGGGCTCTGTTTGCAGATTTGCTCGCGGTCGATCTTCTCGTTCACGTACAGCACCCCGGTCTCCAGGTTGAGGTCTAAGTAAGGGGTCCTTGAGTTGGGCACCGTTTGGAATCTGCGAGCCGAAAGTTTTGTAATGTCCAAGCCCAGATCTTCAGCGATATTCCCCACGAAAGTGCCATGTTCCTGCTCCTCCTGTACCGTGTAGTGAAGCTGGGAAAAGACTCCTTCCACCATCCAGAGCAAGGCAAAGAATAATAGCACAATCATCTCCAAAAGGAAAGGAAGTAGCTTCCCGCAGCCAGTCAGCCACCCAATCACCTCCCCCACCACCACGAAAAAAAAAAATCTCAAAAAATACAAATAAAAGTACGCTACGTGGGGCGGGGGGCTCCTGTGGCTTTTTGTCTTTAAAATTCTTATTCCTTTTGCTTCATGTTAGAGCTTCCCCCAATGCAGCCTCATTTTTTAATCTTAGCGCAGGAAGGGTGACAGGCGTCCCCTTTCCTCATCTGTAATCTGCCCACTGACCAATTAATAAAATAATGATAATACAATAGTCAGCGTCCTTTATTCCGACAGTCTTGGCGCAACGCGGCGCTGGCAAATCCCAAAGAGGAAATTTCGATATTTCAAGACTGTCCTCGGTTTGTCTTCTTGCTGATGGGAGGAGAATGAGGAGGAGGAAAAGGAGGAGGAGGAGGAGGAAGATGAAGAGGAAGAGGAGAAGGAAGAGGAGATGCTCCTGGCACCGCTAAACATGCCTCTTAACATCAACCGCTGGCAAATGCAAAAGGGCTTAAAAACAGCGAGAGAATTTTGTGCCGGAAAAGCACAGAACGGCTCTGCAGCATAAAACTTTCATTCTCTTCATTTCTCCGGATGGATGTTCTTCTTGACATTTTTTTTCCTCTCTCTATTTGTATTTTTTGTCTTTCACCGTCTTGTCTCCCTCTGTCCTCATCTCCACCGTCAGTTGTCACTCTGTAAGTTTAATGAGCAGTTTCTTTTCTGTTGTTTCCTTCCCAAGCCTCTTTCCCTCTAACCTGTCTTTTTTCCTTCCAGTCTTTCCTTCCTTCTGCTTCAGCCTCTGAGCCTGTGATCTCGGCTGGCAGTTTCTGAGCTCCGAGCGCTCGGCTTCTCTGTTTTTGCGCAGCGCCCTCATTCTGCCAACCAATCACCCAGGAGCACCACCCACCGACCTGCCGCTGATTGGCCAAGCAGGCTGTCAAACAGACACGTCACGAGGCAGCCGGGCGAGGCGGAACAGAACCCTCGCCCGGGTTGCTGGGATGTGTGTGAGTGTGAGAGCGAGAACAGCCCCGCAGGTCCCGAGGCGCTGGCTGGGGACTCTGCCGCGGAAAGTTCCCAGTCCCCAGCCGCAGGTAATGAGCAGGGAATAGAGAGGTTCCCCTGTTTGCATCAGCAAATGCGAAAACATAATAGCAACAGCTGCGGTATCCTCTCCTAGGAGCGGGGTTTCCAGTGATGCTAACATTCTTTTTCCTTTAAGGTATTTTCCCTGCTACGGATCATGGAAATAAAGCACGGAGAAGGGGAAAAAGTTGTACAGGGGCCACTAATTGGCAGACGTTATCTAATTAAAGGACCCGAGCAGAGATCCGTAGGACATGTAAGAAATCTACATAATATGGCATGTGTCACTCTAAACGTGAGGGTCCGGAGGGGCAATGTGGAAAGGAGCGGAGCAGCTGGAGTGGGGGGTGGAAGTGGGTCCTAAAAAGCGGAGGGATTCATGCTAAGCGATGTGGACCGACAGCTTCTGTAGACGTGGAGAAGCGTTAGATCGTCAGATCATCTTCCCTCCCTAAATATTTATCCACAAAATTCTCAGCAAGTAGATTAACTCGCTTGGGGGCCTGGCTTTTAGCTGTGACTGCGCGGATCAATGAGGAGTTTCATTGGAGCTGCTTCCTTGGAGCCCGCCATCCTAGCGGCCGTCTCTCGGGCACTCGGCGCTGAGCACCAGCAGGCGCTGCAAAGCGCCTCTGATATCCCTGCGCCTCGTGCGGCCGAGTGCGTCGCAGCAGTTGGGAGCTCCGGCTATTTTCTGATTTTTTTTTTTTTTTTGACAACTGGAAACCTACACTCCCCACTCCCACCCCCGCATAGTAGACTGGGGCATCGATTTCTGCCCAGCCTGGGGTCAGCCCGCTCGATGAGGATGGCGGGGCGGATGCGAACGCGGGCGGGGTGGTGGTGAGGGGCCGTGCACACGCGGGGCCCGAGTGTGTGCCGCTGCGGTTTCCGTGAACACGTTTGCACATGCACGGTGCTCGCATGCATCCTCCCTGTCCGGGTGCTGAGCTTGGGTAAGCCCCAGCGAGCCTCCCTGAGTTTTGAAGGACGCGCTTGATCGACTGTGAGTGCCCACTCCCGAGGCGCGGGGGCAACGCGGCGCATCCACACATCCAGTTCTTGTGAAGTTACCATACAGCGCGAACTCTTTAATGCCGGAGAGTGATTTGAATGGCAATTCTCCAAAGAAAGATTATTTTTGTATATTAGAAAGATTTCATATATATATAAATTAATGGACTGTTAGCAAGGACTAGGTTGTTTATTCACTGAAGCAGCCCTTGTTCAGTCTCCTCATGCCACAAAATAGAAAGGTCCCTTGCTGCTTTCTGTTAATGAATGTCCCAAGAATATCACCACCACAACCTATTGGAAAAGGAGGGTCGTTTCCCCGATCCCGAGGTACGTTGCCATTCCCTTCTGTAGGAAATGAATGAGGGCGAGTATCCAGGGCATGCTTGTAGACTGAGGCATACCCCTGGGAGTGCCGTGAGTGCGTGTCTGCTGACCTGCACCTCTCCCCGCTCCCGCACTTGGCTCTTTCACGGAGGTAGGTCCTGCCTTTGAGCCTTTAGAAGGAAAGGATACCAACAAAAATGGCTAATCCTTTTCCAGCTGCAGTAAATTGAAGACTGTCCAAAGCCAAGCGAAAACCGCTGCAGTTGAAATGATTTTAGTATCACGTCTGCGGCTGAGAATGGAGCGGCAGTGTATAAAAGGACCTGTGGATCAATGAAAAAGAGTATAGTGTATCTGAATATTAATACGGTGTTGCATATGTACTTCCCACCCCTCCCCCCTTTTTTCTTCAGATCTGCAGAATTGAAACGAAATGTTTTGAGCTCTTCAAGCTGACTCATCAGAATCCTGGAGCCTTTTAAAAATGACGGTAATTTTCTAATGTGTTCATTCGTACGTATGGAAACATTTGTGTGTGTGTGTGTGCGCGCGCGTGTTTGTGTGTGAGAGACATGCGGTTGAATGACAATGCAGATCCAGAAATTGTTTGGGGAAAAGGGTCGCTGTTCCCGAAATGTAGATGAAGTTTGAGCAGACTTGGGGCGTATGTTGAAAGCCAGGGAGCTTCCAGAGGTGGAGATGAGAACGCGGAGAGATGGCCAGATTTGCCTGTAAATAATCACTACATCCACTGTAACACTTGAGCTGCATTTTTTTTTTTTTTTTTTTTGTAGCAGATGTATTTGAATGGGAACTCTCTCTGCAAATGTGTGTCACAGGCGTCTCCTAGCGGCGAAAGCAGCATAGGGCAAGCCAGAGAATTTTCCTTTAGAGCCCTTCTTCAGCAGACCTCGCCTTTTGGGGGCTCTACGAGATTTCTTGGGTCACAAAGGGCTGTGCTGTGTCCGCGCCAGCGACGCCGGGCCCAGGTCCTCTAAGTCTCTTCTCTCCGACTTCTAGTCTCAGCGGCGCCGGCCTGGGACTAGCAGGGTGAGGATGGGGTCTTCTTCCTGGCAGAACAGACCCTAGCCTGGTCCTGCTGGCTAGCTCCAGCCAAGGACAATTGCAAGAGCGTTTTGTTTGGAGCCAAGATCAGATATTGCATTAATAGCCTTCTCTGCCTCCTTACCCTAAAGCCATTAAAACAGCCCCACCCCATCACCCACAACAAAACAGCACTTTAAGTTTGCCTTGTAAAATGCATCTTAAATGTAACAGGTGTACCTTCTCCCTTGCTGTGGCAATCAAGCAGACCCCTGTCCTTGGTTTTTCTTTTTCATTCTCCCTCTTGTACACACCACAATTTAGTAAGGTCATGATTACATATACGACAGGGTCGGTGGTGAGATGGACTAACTCTTTGAAACATGCAATATCATACATGTTGTGTGTTACTTGACCTCCCGTTACTGGAGTGGGAAGGGAGAAGGATATCTAGCATGCATAACCCTTCCTTCTTCACCCTCTCCCTTACACCCCCAGGAGGGCCAACTCTCTGGGCCCAAACAAACTGCACTCTAAGAGGGGATAAAACAATTTTTAATCATTGGTGAGGGTATCAAAATCAATTTTCACAAAAGTCCTGGTTTATACATGAGAGTGGTAATGCATAGTCTTTCATTTCATTGGGCTCTAAGTGCAGCAAAAAGAAGGGCGCTAAGGAACCCACAAGTGTGTTTTACAAACTTTGAAACTAAGTAAAGGAGTTGCTTTCTTCCCTACCTTTTGCCGGAAAGAGCGGGAGGGAAACGTTTGTTAACCAGCATTTGGATAAATGAGTGTTTGCAGTGATTTAACATGACTCGAAAGCAATTTGTTTCTAAATCCTCTTATTATTGCAGCGTGCCCAGAGCTTTGAGAGAAGTTTTTTTTTTTTTTTTTGCAAGAATTGGAAGAAAAAAATTTAATTTATCAATAAGAAGTACTTCAAAAAACACCAGGTTCGACCAGGGTTCAGCTAGATGGTCCCTGGCGCTTGTCATTCCCAGCAAGCACTGCACAGAGAGCAAATGCAAAAGACCCGGAGTGCATTGTATCTTTTATGGGTAACCATGAAATAGGTTTATTTGTGGTAGTGTAACCTAACTTAAGAGGTGGGAGGGCAAAGCTTTAAAACCAATGCCCCAGACACTGTGTTAGTTTTTGTTTATCTGTGCTAAAGAGTGAATGTTGACTAGAATTTCTGGAAAAGATTTATACCATATGCTATTTTAAGTATTTAGGTAACTTTTAGTTACTGCATTCCAATGCTTTGAACCCAACAGAGAACAAACCCATCCTTGTTCTTGGTACTGAGAACACTAGATATTCCATTAAGCAACATTATCTTGAAATTCAAAGTTGAAATATGTTTTTCCATTTTGTTCAACCTAGCTAGTATTGGTATGGGTTCACATTTGAGTTTCTTTTCAGTTATCAAACAGGGCCAGCATTTTGTTAAACTCTAAACAGTGAATTAAAAGCACTGAATGAGCTGAAGCAGCCCTTTAATGCAAAATGACAAGTTGCACTTAAGCAATACATGAACAAGAAAATGATTTATGGATTTTTACAATGGCCTGAGCAAATGAAAGAAGCAACATGAATTATACATCCTAATGCCTACAATATCATACTGTTTCAGTTCAGATACTATACTCTCTTCCTTTCTGTAAGAGAAATTGATCAATAAGAGGTCCAGGAATAT